CTTTTTGGAGGTTCTTTAGTGACAAAGTGTATTTTAAAATCCTAAAATGATTTAGAAAAATCTGAAAAACAATTCTATTTCTCCAATTATTGCGTTAGTTTTCTTTTGAAAGTCACTTGTGAATGCACCATATTGAAAATATATTGAAACACTTCCACTTCCAAGTATTTCTACTGTGCTGTACACCACTTCTGACCATAATATCTCCCCCTTGATCAAAACACTCCCTCTCTCTCTCTCTTTCTCTCCCATTCTGCCGCAGAAAAATCAATTTACACGAGAAATGCTTTCGCCATCATCGGCAAAAGTCAGCATCGGTCATTGCGGGGGTTGGGAATTGATCATATAATTTTATTTGTGTTGTGCAATATCTTCTCCAGCCTCTCCAGCATTGAGGGATGACTTGAGAAATTATGCCTTCACCCTCGCATGACGCAGTGAATTCTATGTGTTTGGGGAAGCTATTCCGCACTGCATTTTGTCAGGCGGTGAATAAAAAAAAACCGAGAAGCATTGGAATTGTCCCTTCCGGAAAATTAATTTTTCGACATACACTGACGGCTTACTAATTAAATTTATCGCTCCATTACCAAAATTAACAACTCTGCTACTCCAGTCACCTTGTTTCTCCCAAAACATGCTCTTTTGCTCCCAAATCGACTGAGTTGAACAGTGTAGAAATGATGCATTCGATGCCACATCTGAAATATCGCCGCAGAGGATAATAAATTAATTTAATGCCCATCACTGTGTAAATCACGTTGGAAAGTGTTGCAGATTAGGCATTCCTAATGCGCAGTAGAATATTCTAATTATACAGAAAATAAACACACCGGAGAATAGGTGAAAGCGAATAAATCACGAATGGAATCCATAAAAGCCCAGAAAGTCCGTGGAAGCGCATGTAATGGCATAAACATGTCACCATTAATCATCAATCTTGACGAATATCAATTCTGGTGGAATTTTATTACAACCCTCAGCCGAAATTGTCGACGATTTATCTCGTAGATTTTACACACATTCTCCGCGGGCAGAAATGCGCCTCGATGGGTGCCATCTAAGAGGTTTTCCCTATATATATATATGAAAGGAGACAAGAGAATTATTATTGCCTCGCCTCGAAAAAGGTGCAGCCGCACAGTCAATATAGTGCCACTATTTCCTTAAATGAATAGCTCTCTCGCACTTTTCAGAAAGTCATACAACAAATGTGAGAAATTCGACAGAGAGTCGCGCTTGGAAAAAATGCTGGGATATTTTATTAGTTTGGGTCGCATATCTTCCACCAGCAGCTGTTTTCGATTTTTTTTTCTCTCTCCTCAACACCCAACATTGCTCTATTGCCTTTGCGATACACCGTGCAAGAGTCAGCCTCTGGCATCTCAGTCACACTCTTCCGAATATTTGGGAATTGACGCCTTCCACGGAGACACAGAGAAAAGGGACTTTTTTGTCAATAGAAATTGAGAGAAATACTGAAGATGGAGGGAAAGTGAGATGACATAGGGGCTGATAAATTGAGAAAGTGTGACACAAATTCCACTTTCAATGTCAATCACCAGGCTAGAGAGTCGTTTAGGCATTTGCAGTTAATAATCGTGGAAATGTGATTAAAAGTTGTAAGCACGATTTATTGTATCAATTTGGAAGTTCTTATGTCAATTTTTCATATTGATTTCATGCAATTTAGTGCTGAATATGCGCTGAATTGCCTTTAAATTGACTTCCAAGCGCTGAATTTTCCCAAAACAGCTTCAAACGCAAGAAGTCAACTCGAATCCATAGCTGAATATTATCAAAAGTCTCGTCGTGTCCCACTTGTCAGCCCCTTGAGTGCGAAGGACAAAAATAAAAGGAGACATTAGAGGTTCCCTTCAATTGCAATAATCGTTTCGGATTTTTTTCTACCGCACCCAAGAGTGTTGAATGAATGAAGAACTCGTCGCCTGAAAGCGAGAAACAGGTGACGATTTTTCGAGGCGAAACACTCTTTTCGCTCCGAAAAATACTCCCCAAATAGCCAATTCGGGTGTTCAGGCGGCAATTGTAGAGGATCTTCTTTGCCTCCTCCGCACAATCTATTTTTGGTGAAAATTCAAAATCCCAAGTAAGTGGATTTTCAGGCTTGCACTGGAGGCACACACATCTTTGCTTCTTTAACAATTCAGCGGAATAGTCTTGACACGTCGGGCATCACCAGGACGGAGAGCGAGAGAGAGAGAGAGCGAGTGGAAATCCTTGGAATTATTAATGCTGCGCCTCTCAAAAAGGGGGCTTATTTATTGTCAAGCCCTTGAAAGTTATGAGGGTGTCTCGCAATCGTCGGGCTCTTGTTGTTTTTCCAAATGAGATCCCCGATAATGGTGACTCTGGAGAGGACGAGCAGACAATTAGATTGGTGACTGCTTCGCCTTTTCCACCCCGACGCCCTCTTCATTTGTCTATTTTGGCGGAAAACACCATTTTGCCTCCGTTTTCCAGTGTGGATCGAGCTGACGTCTTCAGGAGTGCTTCTGCTTGGCAGTTCGGCTTTAAAAAGCATTTTTTTATGAATCTAAAATAAATTGCTTCACACATTGGGTACTTTTGGAATCCACTTAAAATCTCTTGTTTCGGTTATCTCTTCCGACCATAACCTGAAAATATCATTAACATATCTTGAAAGACTCCGTTTTAAAGGCTTTTCTTTAATCTAGATCCTAAAATCATCTCTTATAATTTGCGGAGACACTCAAAATTGCTGATCAAGAAATATTTTTCAAGTCCAAATCAATATTTTTGAGATTATGTTCGATAAACATGTCAAAGGTTCAACTTGAGCATGAAAATTGATGCGCTAGAATTAGTATTTTATTTACAATTAAAATAAATCCAAAGAAATCATCCAAAAGTATGATTTCTACTAATAGTAGTTTTATAGTTTGACTTGTAAAATTGTGCCTGATTTGAAAGTCTCAAGATTCTCATTCCTAAGATTTCTAGTGAAAATTCTTGTATGAAAAGTGACTTTATGTTAACATGAAACAGATTAACTTTAATGATTCTATTGCGTTGCAAAATATAAACGAATACATTGCAACGTCAAGTGGAACAAATTTGTCCCATACATTTTCCCCCGAATGAAACGCTTTCATCCCTGAGACTGCGTTTTATATTTGCACACACACACTTGAGAAGTCAGAAAAGACACAGTTGCTTTTGATTTCATGACATGGAGAATGTTGTCATCATTAAATGACTAAAATCCTTCAATCAAGCACTCGCTCTGGTTCAAGACCACTTTAGGTCATGTAATCAGGAGTGCTTCCTCTTTGCCATTGCGCGAGGTTTGCGCCCCAAATTGCGTACTTGAAGAATTCCACCAACTTTTCCACGTTTCTCCCTTCGCCACGGCACGGCGAGGGTGACGAGGAAGTGGCGAAGAGAGTGTAATTAGGCGACGTTTTTCAGTGTCAACCACACGTTCTCGCGCTGACTGTGTTGTTGTTGCTCATAATGCCGCCGAGGGGCGCAAAAAGCACGCCAATTCTCACCCTCCGGATCACCATTAATTCGTCCACGGGCGCTGAAAACCGCCCCTCGGCCCCCTGGCACCCCGTGACTTTAAATGTAGATTTCACTGAGCGTGATTTATGATGCCCAAAATGTCTTTTTATGTTGCGCTACATACACTGCGGAACACGCTCTGCTCTCTCACTCTCTCTCTCGCCCTAACCATTGATACACTTCTCGATACTAGGCGAGCCCAAGCTAGTGCGACGAATTACAAGACAATCGCACTCGAACACTTTTTCCAACCCCTCGCAAATGGGCGAAAGGCAGCCGCGTGTGCGAATGTGTTTGGGGAGAATTCGGTGTGTTTTCACTCTCTCAGCATGGAAACACTTCGGAGATGCGGCAAAACACGCTCTCTCTCTCTCGCTCTCAGCACTTCGCTCTGTTTGCACTCTAGCCTAGAGCAAACAGTCGCGACGAGGGGTTTCTCAGTGGTGTTTTTCCCAGGAAAAGTGGGCCTCAAAGGCCATCCTTGAGCGACTCACGGTCAGGGTTAATGTGGTTGTGGATTTCTAAAGACTCCAGAGTACCCAACAAAGAGGTTGTAAATCAGCTGAAAAGGAAATTAGAAGACACATCATGAGGGCTGTCAAGACCTTCACTCTTTAGTTCCGGGCAGAAATTATTCGGAATTTTTTCAAAGCGCACTTTTGCGAAAGAATTCTCTTTGTGTTCGAAAAAGTAAAAAGAAATGAGTTTTTTTAAAATGTTTTTTTTTCTCATAGGATTGCTCAGGAATAAAATTGAAAATCAACGATAAAAAATTTGTTAAAAAGTAATTTATGTTTTTTCAAAATCTTTTTCACTAATTTTTCTTCTTTCCCTTCTACAAAAATCATTCAATGTTCTTTTTTTTAACCTAATCAAACAAAAAATAACTTTTCATAATGCTACAGAATATTTTTGTTTATGGTTTTAAGAATAGTTTTTGAATTGGATTTCTCAATAAAAAAATTAAAATTGAACGAGGAAATTCTTTAAAATGGAGTTTGCATTTTTTATATTAATAACAAAATCATATGTACATTTTTTTGAAGTTTTATAATGAAAATAACAGTTTTTTCAAATATCACACAGAAAATGTTATGAAATTTGATTAAAAATGCAATAATTTTCGTTTTTCACTTCAACAATCATTTGATGGTGTTGAATAAACACCTAATCAAATACGAAAACTCGTGGCGCTGCAGAATTTCTGTCAATTTTATGCAAAAATGCGTTGTTTTGGCAAACTGCACTCTGGAAACCACCAAATGTCGTCCCCTATTTCTCGCATTGCTCCTCTCCTTCCACATGAATGGACTCCGGAGAGTGAGAGCGGGAGAGAGCGAGGCTCTCGCGAGAGCCTGTGCTCTCTTTGTCGCGTTGAAGAGAGGCAGTGCGAGGGGTTGAATGACTGTGGCATCGAGCACGATGTTCAGTTTGGTTATTCGCGCCGTGGCGTGCTGATGTTGGTGCTTTCCTTCTCGCGTGACCAGTGTGTCTCTGTCTTCAGTGTGAAGTGCTGGGTCGCCCCTCGGCGTCTCTAATAAATAAACAGGCGTTAGTTTAGATAAACGCTCAGTGACGATTGATTTAGGCGACACACAAGAGTGGGCCTTTCTCTCCGTGTTAATTGTGAGAACATGATGATCTGTGGTGGTTCAATGCTCTCCTTGGCAATACTGTGCTGTGCTGTGTAGAAGTTTCTCGTGTGCGTTGTTTCTTTTTGGGGGGGAAAACAATTGCTGAAAAATTCAAACTCTCCGCGTGTCCTTTTGGTGCTGTGCTCGTGTGCTCAATTTGGCAAGCGAGAGGGAGGGTGAGCGCGAGAGTGGGGGGAAGGAGCAGGAAGTTGTGAGGAGTGAGGATCCATTAGAAGGACCGAACATTCGCCGTGATGAATTGCAATGGTGTGGAAGAGAGCCTGGGATAACTCTGCACATTGATTTCTAGCAGTGTTGCAGTCTTACGTAATTTCGGATATCTTCTCAACACCTCCAGGACAACTCTCCATGCGACATGGATAAGCTTGGCACGCTCTGCTGTTTGCTTTTTCTCATCCTCAACGATTTATGGACGGGCGCCGAAGGTAAATTTTGCATTTCCACCATCAGAAGCAGTGACTCACAATAGAACAACTTACGATCCGAAGGACAAATTCAACCCCCGAAATGCGGACTTTCCCGTGAGACACACGATATTCGTGATTGCTTCGCATAAAGCATTTTTTGGCTTAAATTCGTGCGCCATCCGATGAGACTTTTCCACCTTTTGTCGTGGGAGAGTTTCTGGGGCGGCGGAAAGCGCGCTCTAAGTGCATTTTCAAAAGTGAATGTCAATATTTGACTGTGAAATTGGCCAAATATTTGATAAACATACCTTCGTCACGGTGGGCGTTGAGCGTGGGAAGCTTCGTTTCTTGTTTAACCTCAATCGCTGCGTCAACATAACCTCTCTCTCTCTCTTTCTCGGGGTTCTTATACATTTCTTCGGAGAAAGTAAAATATCAATTAATTTCCAATTCAGCGTAATTGCATAACCTCAAAAATTCATTAGCAAAAGCCTCAGCGGTGGCGGTTGAAAAGGGGTTTAAATTACAGTGAAGATTTTCAGCAAAGTCACCGCAATTTGCTCCCGGCTTCACTTTAATTGCGGGTGAGCTTTAAGAAAATTGCTACCTTCGGCGTCCCCATTGTGCAAATCGATCCCAACTTGTGTCGATTTTGCCCCCCGAAGAGTCAAAAGACTACGGCCAATATTGGCCTTTCATGGCAAATGACGCCAACCAGCCAATAGATGGCACTGATTCTCGAGTGCTTAAGTGATTGCTTGGCATTGGCTTGGGCAGATTTCCTCACTTGATCCGCTCTGTGTGTGTGTGTGTTTTTTTTCTCGCGCTCATTCGCCACGCATAAAAGAATGAAAAGAGAAGAAGAGGATGGTTTTCCACCCCCTCAAGTTTTCCAATTTGAAAATTATTCAGGGAGAAAAATATCTGTGGCAGAAAACAAATTGCGAGCGGTTCTTTCATCTCGCTTAGGCGCATGAAGAAGAAAAGCACTTTCAGCGACAATTCTAATGCTGGGATTCTTTCGCCCAATAAATATGCAAATTCTGCCTCGTTCATGGATGTTTCGTGTATATTTTTTTTTGGCACATGGCAAAGCCAACATTCTCATTCGAATCAGGGAAAATCACCCACTCAATTGACGTATTAAGGAATCTACGTGATGCTTTTCCTCCCTCCAATTGCGACCTCTGAATCCATCGATATTTGCGACACGGATTTCCAGCCTTCTGCCGAAGAATCCTCCGCGTCTTGCGCTGCGACAGGCGCTCATTATAGGCGTGGTGAGAAGAGCAAATAGTGCAGTATTTGCACAATTGCTCACAACACATCAACAATTGCTGTGCCACGTGTCGAGGATCGTCGGAAGACCCACGTTGAGCCATTAGTTGTTTTATTACACATTTCCCATTGAACTGCCATAAATCACAAGCGTCAACATAATTTAGCATAGCCACAATGGCGAGGACTCTTGCCGAATATGGCGTTTGCCCAAAAAAAACCCCGACCAACAATGGAAGATTGAGTGACTTTTTCACTGATTTCCACCACATTTTGGGGATTTTATGGGTGTCGGTTGAGTCAAAAGAAGCACGAGTGAAGTGATTTCCTGCGGCCAGGAAAATTGATTAAAAGTGTGACGTGGATTTGTGGCACATTTGAGTTATTTCAAGCACAAAAGAACACCCCAAGAGATGACTATCGTGAAATATACTCACTCAAGTATTGTAGTGGATAAATTTGCGCAATTTGCAATTAGCAAAGTTTATTAAGAGGATTTTCCTATTGCTGAGAAAGTGAATTTAGGTCGAAAATATAATGCAAAGAGCAGAATTTTGCTAATAATTCATTTTAATATTAATTTAGTAAGTGAGTTTGTGAATTTTGTAATATAAAGTGCATTAAAACTCATTAAAAACTTGTTATTTTGTCACAAAAACCACATTTTAATTGTATTTCTGGTCGTCTAGAAATTATTTCGGGTGCAATTGTGAAGTTGAACTTTCATATTTTGTCAGATTTTTATTTAAACAAAAAACATTGCTTCAATTAATACCAATTCTGCAGACATATTCAAATCAGCTTCGTTATGGAATTCTCGGAAAAACCCATAGATAATATTTTTAGCATACGACAAATTGTGAATAAACGTAGTTATGCCAATTAAATTCAATTAATTAAAATATTCATTGAAACAGAATTCATTCTGAACTTTTAAATATCGCTCAAATTCCACTTTTCGTTGATCGAAAATAAAAAATTAAAACAAAATGGAGCAGAAATTGAGAACATGCAAAAGTGTGATGAATCCCAGGCAATTAGCAAGGCTATTAATGTTGATGCTGATGACAAAAAAGCTCAAGCTTAAGTGGATTTCCTGTGGTGTTTCAGGGGAAAAGTGTCGAAGGCGCGCATTCAAATTGATTTTCTCACAGGCACAATATCGTTTGACGCAATGGGAAAACCAACTGGGCGATGCTTGAGAATGTGTGTTTCTTTGCTCAAGAGAAGTTCTCTCAACAAATGCCACATAATTGCCTTTTCTTCGGGTGGGACAATTTAGGCGTTTGTGGTCTGTTTTTTGTCAGCTGGAAATTTTGAGCCTGAGCGCGCCAAAATTGGGAAGTTAATTAGAGAAATTCATAAGAGAGCAATAAAAATTAAGAAATAAATTGGGATAGAGAGAGAGAGAATGAAGTGTGGTGGAAATCTCGAGATTCATCGCGTGGCAAGAAAGAAGGCCATTGAGATGTTTTCTCATGCAGAGACTTAAGCCGAAGGGTTCATCAGTTGGATTTTTAATCACCGCGAGCTCTTCGCCTCAATTTCTCACCCATAAATATTCAGCATTCCACACGCTGGCCATTCGGCATGTCAGTGTGGCGATGGGGGTGGGAAGATGGGAGGGGGATGTGTGAGATAATGACGTTGGAATGCCACGGACAATTGGAAAGTGAATGTTTGGGAAAGCGCCGCCAAAACCATTGCTTCCGGCCCAATGTTTCCCCAAAGAGAAATTCCTCCTGTCAGCGATGATTCCGGGCAGGAAACTCCGTCGGCAAGACTTGCCGCAACCCTTCGAATCTAGCAACTATCGCAACTCTAGCTCTTCTGGTGTGACTAAATGGAAAAGTGTGAGGATCGTATAAATAACTTGTCCGCGGGCAAATGCTCCAGACTGTGCACAGACTGGCGGAAAGAAGTGTGTATATGCCGAGGCCCAAGGCCTGGCATCTGACATTGTAATGCGATATTTTGGCATTTTATGGCACTAATAATAACATATTCCCATGAGGATGCGAGAGAGAGAGAGAGGGTGCGCAGACACGAACAACAAATTGGGCGATTAGTTATACAGAATGATTGAATTTCATTTTCATGATTTCCCACTCTGTCTCCGATCCTTCGGGCCGCCTTTCAAAATGAACCGTCAACAGACCGCAGAGAAGAAGTGTTCATTCAATTTACATAATAATTCCTCACCCATCTCACTTTCCCCACCGCATTTGTGAAGGGTAAATTGAAAAATTCAGGTTCTCTTTGATTCCAATAGGCATTCAGTGGGGCATAAAATCACCATTAATCTTTCATCTAGCTGTGCGCAACTCTGGGCAGAAGCACCGGAGGTGAAAAGAGAGGAAATGAGTGAAATTTCAAAAATAACAAATGTCTCATTTTCTCCAGAATCTCCCCCTAAAATTTTTTCCTCTCAAATGACTCAAACTTTTGCCATCATTTTCGCCTCAGAATCGACTCTATTGCGGGTGCAGCCGTCAGATTGTGTCCCATAAATCGTGCTATTGTGACGGGATTTATTGCCATGAAAATTGCATTTCACATCGTCCAAGAACTTCATAACGCACTCTGATTATTTCACCCCAGAAGGGCAAATTAATGGAACATTCTTAAGTCAACACAAAGACTATGGAATATGGCGAAGAGAGTGGCAGAAGGAAATTGATTTTGTCCTTCATTGTGAACTAGGACAAAGTCATCTCTTCTGTCCTCAAAGAACAGCTTACTTTTGAGTTTTCAGCTAAAACCTTTCTAATAATTCGTTACAAATCCTTCTTTTGGAGCTCTTAAGAGTTCATTGCAATCTGTTGTTCAGTTTCAGTTCTTCTTTATCATTACATTCTGGGCGGAGCTTGAGAGTGGGCGTGGCTTAAAGTATTTCATGCTGTTCGGTTTTCAATGCAGCCCTCAAGTTGCCAGTTTTTATTGCTGTGAAATTTTTCATTCCTCTTCTCAATATCTGAAACAAACAACAGGGTTCTTTGTCCTTATTTATCTCGCGATATCAATCGCTTGGCGTTGAGTCTTTTGCCCTTATCTTAATGACCCACCCTATTAAGTATCGACAGTGAGCTACAAAACGACACCTTAAGTCCTCGAATTGGTCCCAATCGCGCTGAGAAATTTCCGTCTAATTAATTCGAAGAGTGTGGAAAAAAGGGATCCCAAATTACCCCAGCTGGCGTGTCTTCGGCATGAGGAATGACGCCGCTATCCTGATGGATGGCGGCGATACTGCAGTGCAAACAGGATCCATCGAGAGAAATGGGGTGTCTTTTGTGAATTTTGATTTTATTGTGTGGATGTGACTGGCCTGAGAAATCCCCGAGACGCTCATCAGCATGCACGGCTCTTTTTTCCATCCACTCCTCCTCATCCCTGGCACTTTATCCCTTTTGGCGCCTCGGGAGATCGATATCTCGGTGAAGGACGAGAGAGAGAGAGAGAGAGAGGACCTCTTCAAAGAACAACTCGAGAGATTCTTTGCGACAAATTACACAGTCCTCTTGTCTCCCAAGCAATCGAAGTGCGCCCCGCAATCTGTGAATTACAAATAAGGCTGAGGTTTGATCATGCTAAATAGAAAGACCCAAACATTGCCTATACATTTCTCTTGTGTTGATACAGAGCCAGGGAAAAATCAATACACTTTTCCACCCTTCGACCAGCATTCTCGGTGTGGGAAATCCACATCACAGGGAAAATGTAAATCCCACAACTATTAA